TTATTAAAAGTTACTTGCAATGTTATTTCCAATGTCAATATTAAAATAGCTAGTTGAATTAATTTATCAAGCACTTGGTGTGCAAGTGAATTTTTCATAATTTTTCCTTTTGTTGTGTTGATACACAAAATCTCTTATAATCAACAGTGAACATAAGTTATATCAACACTAGATTTAAAATAAAAAATGATTCAAAATATTCTTACAACTCAATTGATAACGCAATGTTATTTGATAAATTGATCAATAAAAATAAAAGCAAGTAAAAGCAAAAATAAAAGAGACACAAGGAATTTGTCTTACAGTCCCCCATTGTCGTCCTCGCGTATGGGTACGTCTACGCCTAATTCGAATGGAATTAGCATAATTCTTACTATGCAAAATTGTTGATACAAGAGAAATGTTTAAGAGCAACTCCACAAACTTTAAGCTTGTTGTTAATTGAACCCCTTATCCTATTTTGATCTTGAGAAAGACTAAGACATAATAGATGCAAATTGACTATCTGGATCTTGCTACTCCTTTGCATTCTTTATCTCCAAAACTTTCACGCACTGTCAATTTCAAACTATTACAACACAAGACTTCAATTGTAATTCACCGTTCTCGCCCTACTTACTTTGTGTTCCTTATCTCTAAAGGATCCCTTGCATTCTTTATCTCTAAAGGACTTCACTTGGCCGCAATTACCTCTCGAACGTCTTGCACCAAAATCCCCAAATCAACCAATGATCTTGGAGAACAAACCCGACGTTTTTCCTGGATGAAAACCCTACAAAGCTCAACCTAATACATAATTGGACACTATAAATCCTCGTTTAGATGGAACCCCAATGGAACATTGCTACAATGTAATATCAGCGTGTATACATAGATTGGAGGTTGAAGATGAAGAGAGAGAGAGAGAAGTAGGCTAATTTCATGATTTCACCAAGTTATGAATGATGCATGAAAGAGTATTTATAATTTTGGAACTTTTAGGGCAAAATGAAAAAATTCGGAATAAAAAGATTTTATGAACATTGACAAAACAAACAGTATGTGTCGACCTAAGTATCGTATGTGTCGACACATACATAATTTTTAAACTCTTTGTGTCGACCTATAAAAGGATATATGTCGACCGAACCAAGTCAGAGGCTAGAGGCTTTAAAATGATAGTAAATGTGCCGACCTAAAAAACTCATGTGTCGACACATAAAATAATATTTTATGCAATTTCATGAATGTTTCAATATGTGTCGACTTGTGACTTACGTAAGTTACATGCTTTAAAAATGAGTTTCATGTGTCGACTTGAAAAGTGGATGTGTCGACACATGCAGTAAAAAATTATGCATAAAATTATTTTTAATGGCTTAGATCAATTTCAAAATGCTTTTTAATGATTCCTAAGACCTCTAATGCAGAGGAGTGCCATAAGACATAAGGATATCGTCCAATGTTCAGAAGTGCAAGCTTTTCCCAATTTTTGACATCATTTAAAACATTTGACGATGAAGTTTATACTCACAACATTAGTGGTTCAAAATATAGAGATATGTAGTTGAGTCTATAAGCATTAGAAACATGAAAAAAAGGGTTAGTCTTACTATTAGAGTTGGTACTACTATCATAATCGCCAAACATGCCTAGTTCTACTAGGTTGTAATCAATCGTCTTGTTTGGCCGCCTCACATCCCTAACGCAATGTTTCCATATTTCTATATACTCCTCACAAGTAGAGAGATCTACCACATTATCATTCCCATAAATATCTCTAATAATCACCATTTTTGGAAAATGGGGGGGGGGGATGATGAGAAAGGAGAAGATTTTATACTTGTAAGTAAAGGATGAAGATGAAGTTGAGCTTTAGAATGATTAAGTACAAACTTGCCATGAGAAAATAGGAAACTTGAATGTATCGTGAAAAAGAAATGGTTCGAGTTCTATTCTTATATGGGTAAAAACCTAGGTCACGTAGACCATCATTATCCAAATATAGTTATGCGCCAACAGTTAGGAAATGGGCTTATCTATATCTTAGTTCCAACATGTGCAATGAGATCTAGAGTTATCAATAAACTTACCTTATTGAGATGAACCCATCATAAGAGAACATTTAATGCTTCAAGTGTTTCATCAAGTAACACACGAGGGATTCGTCCCAAGCTTCACTTGAGGGACTTGCCCTAAGTGACACTGGAGAGTTGCTTTAAGGTAATCACACAAGGACTCATTATCGCAAGTTTCATAGGGACCATAATGCGTTAACAAGTTAATCACTTCACCCTTCACAAGCTTCACACTTGAGGGAATCTGAATCAATATAACTTAGTTGAGATGAGAAAGACACATCCCAAAGATCTTGAGAATCTCACCTAGTATGTAGATGGAATCGAGTGGGTGCCTACTCGGGTCACCTAGTCATAGTTGTGGGCCACCATACTCAAACGTTGTTATTGTCACTTACCCATTTCATTCGGACGTGACAGGTCAAGGGTAATGAGAGATTAACAATTTGGCCATATCATAGAGGAAGAAACCACCCCTCAAATAAAGAAAGAATCTCATTATTCCACATGCTCTTCAAGAGATTGAGGAATGGCTATTTCCTTCATTTTATCTGGCCTACAGAGACAACTATAAGTATTCAACCCCTAGGGTTGACAAGATCATTCATTAATCTCAGACAACTGCCATAAAAGCATTTGTTTGCAATCACACATGCATGCAAGCTCATTCCTCATTATGCTTTTACAAGTATACTTTCTATCTCAAATTATCTTTGAATGATGTTGACCTAATATTAAATAGAAAATAATCCTTTTTAGTAACGTTTTATGTTGAACTATCATATTTACGTACTAAAAAACTATTGTTAGGTGAAAGGAGGTATGGTAGCTAGAAAAAGAAGGTAAAAGGTTGAAAAGACTATGAAAAATAAAGACCAAAGATCATTTATAAAAGAAGAATGACCTCCCTATATCGAGTAAACATACATAGGATCCTAATTATCATTATTGTGTCATAACATCAAGGGCCCTAATCACATTTATGCAAATAGACAAACAACCCAAATTATTGAATCATTCCCAAGGCAATTTTAATAATTTCACCGCATTAACTGCACCGCTAATCCCAAAGTTTAATCGTTAATCCTAAGCATGTTGCCACTAACTTCCTACAAAACACCATGCGTAAGAATCAACCTCGAATACACATATCAATTAACATGTCATTTGGTGTCACCTTTGAATATGCATCAATCACTTTGTCCTAACATGTCTTGTACTTGAGGGACTAAAGATGTCACATTTTCGAACACACACATATGCAATCATATGTCTTTATGATTACCAATTAAAATATTCTTGCTTAATCATTTCTCCTCTATATTCTTTATGCTTGAGGGACCGTGAACGAGAATGTTCTCACTTAATCACTTGCTCTTACAGGTTTTGTGCTCGAGAGCTCGTGAACTAAAACATCTTTAGTCATGCCCAACTCTTAAATGACACACTAAATATCTAAATAATAAGTGACAAGATCACATGAACCTGCTCGCCCCACTCCCTCTATGACGTATCACATGAGAGAATATGTTAAACCACGTTTTTAAGTGAGTCAAACAAAACTCTCACAGTAAATAACTGAAGTACTCGCGGTCCTAGAGATTGACTTTCTCTCCTACATAAAAGGAATGATTCACCCAAATCTTTTCATTAGTGGATCAAAATCTAAAGATGTATAGTCAAGTTTGTAGGCATTAGAACAAATCTCTTCACTAACTCCTCCTCAGTTAGACGACCACGTCTATAAATATCCAGCTACACAACTAGACAGATTCATTGACTTTTACATATATTAAAACCTAAAGCCCATAAGACTACTTGCAATGGGGATGTTGAATAAATTTTTTAATAGTTGAATTGCTCCAATGGATTGTTAAATAAGGTGTTGAATGTGACATGGATTAACTTGTGTTGAAAACATTCAACATGTTGAATGAGAAATGAGTGGGGACCACTTATAATACTTTGCAAAATATAATTGGTTGTTGTGATTGTTTATATTTTTATCTCACTTAAATTATTTGGAGTCAATTATTTTATAGAAAATCAATTTTTTATTTATTTTTATTTTCACCAAAATTCATCATTTTTTGGTCTATAAATAGAGTCTTGGTTCATTTGATTTGGACAAAGAAAAAAAACAAAAACAAAAATATTAATTATAATATTTTGATTTAATCATTTAACTCTTAATTATTTTAATTTAATTTTAATTGATAATTATTATTAATATATAATCAAAAAAACAAAAACATAAAAAAAAAAGTGGTGGAGTAAGGTGTTGAGTTTTATTAAACAAAACTATTGTAGTGAGTAAAAATTAAATGTGTGTTGAATTATTAGGTGAAAGAGAGAGAAAATGATCTAAAGTGTAAAAAATGAGAAAAATGAGTATTAAATAATTTTGCCATTGTAGATAATCTACCGCACATGAAATTTAAGATAGTATACTCACATCAATGACTTGCAAAAAAATTAAAAAAAAATGTGAAAAATCAAATGTTAAAAACTAGAGAAAAGAAAGGATAAAGTTGACATTTTGTATTAGCTTATACTAATACTCATGTATCATGACGTAAATCCTTCCAATTTATAAGCATAAGCCCATGTGGCACATGGTGGGCCAGCTTGTGACTTAGACTCAATACTCCATTTGAGTCTTATATTAATCATCCCATTTTCGCGCGTACCTACAACGCGCCGGTATTTCCGCATGATCATGACCGTCCACTCCTACTCAGATTCCAATCCAGCTTGTACTACTTCATCCACTCCACTTTTTGGATTATCACAGATTCCTCTCTCTCTCTCTCTCACCAACCCCAAATTTCCCCCTCCAATTATTATTCATTCATTCATCTTCATTACAAAACAATTTCCTTTCACTATCACTATTACATAAGCTTCGTTTCTGTTCCATTTCATCACTCAGAGTAGCAAAACATGGTAATGGATGATTCCACTGATCTCTTTCCCATCGGAATGCGTGTTCTTGCCGTCGACGACGACCCCACTTGCCTCAAAGTCTTGGAAACTCTCCTCCGAAGATGTGAATACCATGGTAGATTCGGATCTGCTCCTTTTTTTATAAATTAATTATTCTTTTTCATGTTTATGCACAGTTTTTTGATCAATTGTAATGTATGGTGTTATGGGTATGGTTTATTTGTTGTTTTAGTTTATAAAGTTTATTTTTTTAATTCCAGAAATTCAAAACAATTAGGTTAGAAAACAAAAAAAAAATGTTTTTTTGGTTGATATTAGCATTTGGACTAAGAACAGAAGATGAAGAGTCATGCTTTTAGGGTCAACGGTTCTGAAAAAGTCATAATTTGATTGAGGGTTTTTGATTTATGTTTTTTCATAAAATCCTTATGATGGGTTATATGAACAATTGATACAGTATAATGATATACTTATGTTATTTATGATTGGGGATTTTGTAGTTACCACAACTAGCCAAGCTATAATGGCATTGAATATGCTGAGAGAAAACAAAGACAAGTTTGACTTGGTTATCAGTGATGTGCATATGCCAGATATGGATGGATTTAAGCTGCTTGAACTTGTGGGGCTTGAGATGGACCTTCCTGTCATAAGTAAGTCGGGATCTGTTATGTAAAATCGTCGGTGGTTCATCATTTCGATTCATGTTTATTGGTTATTGATATATTTATTACAGTAATCAATAACTTTTTTGGTGCTATAAAATGTTTGATTTCAGTGTTGTCTGCGTATGGTGATACGAAGCTGGTGATGAAGGGGATTTCTCATGGTGCTTGTGATTATCTGCTGAAACCTGTGAGATTAGAGGAGTTAAAGAATATTTGGCAGCATGTGATTAGGAAGAAGAAATCTGATTCAAAGGGGAAAAACAAAACCAGTAAGCCAGATAACGCTACTTCTGATAGTTGCAGCGGACTGAGATCAGCGGGAACTGAGAATTCAGATGAAAATGGAAGGCTGGCTAAGAAAAGGAAGGATCAGGATGAAGATGAAGATGAGGATAAAGAGAATGGTAACGATAATGAAGACCCATCAGCTCAGAAGAAGCCCCGAGTTGTTTGGTCTGTGGAGTTGCACCGCAAGTTTGTCGCTGCTGTAAATCACCTAGGCATTGACAGTATGTTTTATTTTTCTTCACTCTGCCTTCAATTCAAGAACAATTTTTGTATCTTAACGATTTCCTTAAGCTTTACCAGATTTCATTTCTCATTTTATATTATCAAAATATTGTTGAATAACTGCCTCGGTGATTATTTTCAATCCAATTTTTATAATAATTTCATGTCTCAATTATCACTCAAATTTACACCACGTCATGAAGTTTTCTATTACTGAATTTGAGTCTGAGCCTCACGATTCATAATATTGTTTCACTGGCAGAGGCTGTACCCAAAAAAATTCTTGATATGATGAATGTCGAAAATATTACAAGGGAGAACGTGGCTAGCCATCTCCAGGCATTTTTCTAATTCTTTACTCTTTAGTTTAAAATGTTTAATATAAGTTAAACCATTTCTTTCACTGAATGTTTCTTGTTTATGAAATGGCTGCAGAAGTATAGACTTTATCTGAAAAGAATTAGCTGTGTGGCAAACCAACAAGCTAGTATGGTGGCAGCCTTAGGGAGTGCTGATCAATCTTATTTGAGAATGGGTGGTTCTGGACATTTTCACAATAATGCTTTCAGATCTTTTTCGCCTAGTGGGATCATTAGTAATCTGAACTCTCCGGCTGGTCTGAATGGACACGGATTTTCTCCATCCGGACTACTTCAGTTGGGCCAATCACAAAGTTTAAACAATTCTTCCGGTGATCAATTTAAATTCCAGTCGGCCATAACTCCCGTTAATCAGAATATTCTTCAGGGTATGCCAATGTCTATAGGGTACGATCACTTGCAAAACAGCAAAGGTGCTATTTCTCTTCAAAACATGAATACTGATGTAAAACCAACTTTTCCCATCCCAAGTCAATTCCCGGATCAAAGACCTAGAGTAACTACCTCTAGTTTTCATCCTCCGAGTCTCGGTATCTCAAACAATGCCTTGATGTCAGAAACACGCCCTGAAGGAAAACGAGGTATAGGAATAGGGTATGAAAGTTCATCATCTTCTTCATTAGCCTCTCAACATTCAGAATTTTACCCTGAAGGAAAACGAGGTATAGGAATAGGATATGAAAGTTCATCGTCTTCTTCGTTACCCTCTCAACATTCAGATTTTTCTTTCAGTATGCTGGACCAAGGTAGGCGAACTGATAATTGGTCAAGTGCTGTGCAGTTATCCGGGATCCAGACAAATTCTTTTCCTTCAAGTGAATGCTTTAGACAAACACCTATTTCTCCTTCAGATAACGTGGCTTCTTTGCCCTTGCAAGGGGTGTATCCGGGTGGTCAAACCCATTGTTCATTGGCAGATATGCACTCCCAAGGAGGGATTTTTACTAGTCCACCTGAGTATATAAACAGTAATTTACCGTTTCAAGGATGGGAAGACCATAATCAGGATGCTCCTTACCACTCAAATGTTACTTGTGGATCAATTAACTCTCTGCCTCCAGTTAACGGTGCTATTGTTCCCCTAGGCCAAACAACAACGAACTCGACCTTGCACAGAAGCATGGACACTAAGTTTTGTGATTCCATACAAATGAAGCATTCTGGATTCGCTGAATGCTCCACATCAAGACAACCTCGAGCGAATATCGTAAGCCAGCAGCAGTTTTCTAATAATCTCGGTTCATTGGAATACTTGGCAAGTTCAATGATGGAACAGGTAAAATCATTTGTGAAATATAATGATAGTGTTTCCATAGATGTTGCTAGATGACTTCTTTAACATATTGAGTACAGCCAATTCCCACATGCTTAATGTCTTTAAGTTACATCAAGTTATCAAAACAGCTTATAGCTTACGTGAAAGCAGTTTGATTTTATTTTATCTTTTGTTATAAAAATAGTTTATACATAAGTACTTATATGATAAAACGTACATTTCAGTACAGTTTTACGCGTATTTGAAACCATGTTTATGACATGCAGGAGCAAGATAAGATGAAATTATTGGGCGGAGACTTCATATGCGATAGCTACTCTGGCGGGGTATCTTTGTGACATGAGTTATGGTACTCCATTCGGCATCATTTCATGCCATCGTCGTTGATAAATTTTAGAGTGATAATGTCCCCTCTTATGTACTATTAAACCAGTTTTGTCCTACTAGTTTTCTTTCTGTGGAGTTTAGCTTCTTTTTTTTTTTCCTTTTTCTTTCAAGATTCAAGCTCTCTAGAATTCTGCATCATGTGCTTTAAATAAGAACTTAATGAGAAATATAAAGTGTATTATTCAATTTCTCATTAGTTTAATCTTTAAGAGATGGATCTTGTCACTATCTTTATATTATTAGTATTTGACAACTGTTCATGTGATTAAGATTGTATACAAAATATGGTTAATAATTTCTCTGCTGTCAGTATGGTAGATTAACGTGCCTGAAGCATCATTGGCTTAGGACAGTTAGGGATTATTCTTTAATGATCAAGAAATAATTCTACGGACACGAGTTAAAGTTATTGAAAAAATTAGTTTGCAATATTACTTTACCGTAAATGGAAGCTGATTATTTTTAGAAGTACTGTTACAGTACAACATTAGAGAGAAAGTTAGCATGGACAGTGCGGGCAGCTGAAAATGCAGAGTTTATCTTGACTAAACATAGATTGGATTCTAACATTATTTTCATCTGCTAACTGTAGGAGATTTTATTTTGCTATATAAGTAATGTTGTTAATATCATCAAACTATGCATCACAAGTAAACACTCGCTTGATGTTGTAAGAAAGGGTTGAAGAGATCACTTGCAAGAGGTAGATGAGAGAACAGTACACCATAGTTGTAGTACAAATAGTAAAACAAACTTAACACTTGTTAAAACTTGGAAGTATAATTAAGAGTGAGAATGTTTGTTAACATTGATTGAAATACCCTTTTAGTATATATGCAAAATACAGTTGATTGAGACAAACAACAAATTTAAAATAACACAAAATCTGAAACTAATTGTCTGTAACCGGTTACAGTTGTTTTAACAATTATATCTAATATAGGGGTAATTGGTTATCAAAACGCAATAATCGATTACATGTGTTTTAATTATCAAAAAACTACATCTTATAATTGGTTACAGGAACGCAGTAACCGGTTATAACACTTGAATTATTGATTTTTCCACAACACACCACCTTAATTCAAGTGCTCCAAGTCTTCCATGCCCGTGTTCTTCTTCAATCTCTTGAACATTTCAATTGTGTCTCCCTTGATCAGCAAATCGACCACTTGGTCTTCACTTCTATAATATCTCAATCTCAACCTTCCTTCACTAACAAGTTCTCTCAAGTAGTGAAACCTCGTCTCAATATACATGTTCTTCCCATGTGCAATTGGGTTCTTAGGAAGGTTTATAGCAGAAACATTATCAATCATGAGCGTCACAGTGTCACCCTCTTCGTTGTCCATCTCCTTAAATAGATTTATTAATCACATGGCTTGGCACACACACAACGAGACAACAATGTACTCGACCTCACAAGAAGAGAGTGCTACTACTAGTTCATTCTTCGAATACCATGAGATTGATGTTTCACCAAACATAAAGATGTATCCAGCTATAGACTTTCTATCATCTTTATCTCTGCATCAGTTAGAATCGGAAAAATTGAGCAAATTGCATTTTATGCTTGTGTCCATTGTGGGAAAGAATTTGCAGGCAATAGATCCTTTGACATATCTTAGAATTCTCTTGATTGCTTCCAAGTGAGACACCTTCAGTCTCTCCATGAATCTACTCTCAATACCAACACTAAACATCAAATTTGATCGCATATTGCACAAGTAACGCAAGTATCCAAATAACCTCCTATACTGAGTTGGATTAACTTCTTGTTCATCCTCATTATTCGAAAAAATGTAGCCCCGGTTCAGTTAGAGTAATGTCAGCATTACAATGCTCAATTTCAAACTTCTTCAAAATCTCAAGCGCGAACTTCCTTTGGTGCATGAGCAACCCCTTCTTGGACTTGTGGGGCTCAATTCCAAGTAAGTATGTTATGACGCCAAGGTCGGTCAACTAAAAATCTTTCATAAGCTCACTCTTGAACTTAGAAATTTAATTTTCATCGTTGTCAGTAATCAACAAATCGTCTACGTACACACAAAGGATTATCACCCATTCATTTGTACCCTTCTTCACATACACACTATGTTTGGATACATACTTCTTAAAGTCAATCTCCTTTAAGAAACCATATATCCTTTTGTTTCAAGCTCTTGGAGCTTGCTTTAAACAGTATAACACTTTCTTCAATTTGTAGAACTTTGACTCTTGGTTTCTCACAACAAAACCAAAAGTTGTTCTACATATACATCCTCTCCAAGAGGACTGATAAAAAACGTAGATTTCACAACCATTTGGTAGATGGATCAATTATTGTTATTTGCAATGCCAACAACTAGTCTAATGGTTTCAATTCTATTCACCAGTGCAAATACCACTTCAAAGTATATGCCTTCTCTTTGAGAAAATCCCTTTACAACTAATCAAGCCTTATGCTTGATTATTTCACCCTTGGGACTTTCCTTCACTTTGTGCACCCATCTTACACCAATTGACTTCTTTCCTTTCGATAGATCAACCAACTCCTAAGTCTTGTTCTTCTCAATCGATTCTAGCTCCTCCTTCATAGCACAAATCCATTTTGGATTACTCAAGGCCTCATTTATTTTGACGAGTTCGAATTCATACATAAGTTCAAAATGCACGAAATCACCATCATCATTGACTTCGTTATCTCCAAACAAATCACAATCTTGGAGTATTGGAGGAAAACATATTTGCCTTGTTGATCTTCTCACATTCTCTTCGATTCAAGCTTCGATGGGTTTTTTTATGCATTTTCCAGCTTTGCATAAACCGATTCTTCACTACTGTAATCAATTATAATTTTCTGGTAACCGGCTACAGGTTACGTAGCTCATTGATTGTACACCCATCTTACACTAGTTAGCTTCTTTCCTTCGGGTAGATAAACCAACTCTTAAGTCTTGTTCTTCTCAATCGATTCCAGATCCTCCTTCATAGCACACATTCATTTTGGATCACTCAAGGCCTAATTCATTTTAATGAGTTCGGATTTGGCCATAAGTGCAAAATGAACGAAATCACCATCATCATTAACTTCGTTATCTTTAAACAACTCACAATCTTGGAGGAAAACCTCTTTTCCTTGTTGATCTTATTCCATTCTCTTCAATTCAGGCTTCGACATAGGCTGTTTCTACACTTTCAAGCTCTGCAGAAATTAATTTTCATTGTTGTAATCAATTATAGTTTTATGGTAATTGGTTATAGGCCACTGTAGCTCCTTGATTTTGTCAAAAATAATGTCTCAGTTGATCACAGTTCTTCTATTTGCTGCATTATAATACTTGTAACCTCTGGTATAGTGATACCTTACAAGTATCATCAATTATGCCTTATCATCCAATTTCTTTCTAAGTTACCCAGACACATGTCAATACGCAACCAAACTGAAAACTCTCGAGTGATTTAAATTCGGTTTAAATCCAGACCGTGCTTCCTGTTACACCCTAAAACAATGCGTTTAATATTATAAAATAAAGTGTATAGAAACACATATTCACACTTAGGATGCTACTTGACATAAAACGCATTTGTTCTGTAACACATAATTTAAAATAAGACATTCAAAACATGTCATCGCATGTTCGCCCTCACTTAGGGTATCATTGCAACAGAATTATAAAAATAAGCATGCTTCGTAAATCATACAAGTATTATGAAAGTACTTTATTAAAAACCAAACAAATACGGTAAAGGTATCCTTAAAATGACATAGTCGTCACAACGACAAGAGTATAACATCCAACTATCTAAATAACATAAACGAAATTAAAAACATTGTCGCCCCGAGATTGTTATAGATCAAAGCAATGTAATTCTAAGAATCGTAAAAATGAAAGAGAGAAACAACCTCAATGCCATCCTCCAACACTAAATGGCTACTCAGTTACATGCTTATATGTACTCTGAAGAGGAGCACAAACCACAACAACAACAAAGGGGTGAGAATTCACATCAATTAACGGTATAAACTACAAAGTAAAATTCAAACATCCACACATTCATCAAGCAATCACAGAATGTCACTTCACAACAAAATTCGCATATCCAAATCAATTACACACTTATAATTAAGCATATAACTCATATATGTAATGTGACTCAACTATACAACTTGATGCATATGCATGTGGTACCAACTCAACAATTTGGTTCTGTTAGGAATCGAGTCCCCTCTCTGAACCCATGATCCCTCTCTCTGAGCTCCAAGCCCCCTTTCTGAGCTTGGGATAAGCCACTAGTACCCTCTCTAAACTAGTGAACATGCCTCTTGAAACAACTCAATGATGTAACTCACATGTGCATCAATGCCCAACAAAATCAATGTGATAAGACCCCTATCTGATCTTAACATAATGCACTGACACACACACGTAATCCCCTCTCTGGATTACCATGAAACAACATATACTTATCATGACATATAATTGTTCAACACAACATAACAACCAATAACCCAAATACTTCTACCATTCGTAAGTTATTTCATAAATTAAATTAACATGTGTTCGATCATCAACTCACAACAAGACAACATCACACAATGGCTAACAATAGACAAACAATCAACAAAAGTCAAATAAACAGAATCTAAAACTAAATATAAACAACCTAGCCAATTTAACAAAACTTCAGGTTCATGGTGGTTTAACCCGTCACAGGCATGGCGCCCACCAAGGACATCATAGCACAAAACTCCACATCTATCAAAACAGTGATGACCAGCTCTACATTTAAGCGCAGGGTTTATGGCGGTCTAGCATGTCACGGCCATGGCAGTATAGCCTACCATGGACCTACAGAAGGCCAAAATTTGTTTTTATTCATGTAGTTCAATTATGAATTCGGATTTTCCATTCCAAGTCCTCAAATTAATCATAAATCATCATATAATTAACATGTTATCATCAAACAA